ACATTTAGAAACATTATAATTAATTTGCTTAATAGTGACGCAAAATTATAGTAATAAAAATTTAATTTGAAGAAGAAATAAATAAATTTCGTTCATTTGAACGTTCAAAACTTTAACCTCCTACTAAACTACTTTGGGATAGAGAACCAAAATTTAATATTTCTTCCTACGATAATACAAATCATTCAAATTGTTTTATATTCAGTCCGAAATCTGAATTTTCATTTTTCTCTGTGTAGGTTTTGTTTCAGCTCTTTTTTTAGCTTTTGCATCTGGTTTTACTTCAACTCTTACTTTAGCTTTTGCTTCAGCTGTTGCTATAACTCTTGTTTTAGCTTTTGCTCTAGGCTCTGCTTCGAGTTTTGCTTCAGCTTTTGTTTCAGCTTTAGCCTCAGATTTTGCTTCTGTTTCCCCTTCAGCTCTTGTTTCATCTTCTGTTTTAGGTTTTGGTTTAGCTTCAGCTTCAGCTTTTTAAGTAGTCGATATCCAACAGATGCTTTCAAGTGGTAATTGTGATGCAGTAGCAAAGTAGTTAAAGAAGATAAAAATTTGCATATTGGGTGAGAAAGGACAATGTTAGAAATAAACTAGATGAGTAGGATAACAAAAGCTTTCAGGAGATTTATAAAAAAAATACAACTGAAGCACTAAAAGAACAATGAAAAATAGCGGAAGGAGGAAAGATTTATTACGACCGTAGAAAGGATAACGCGGAAATAATTAATTGTAGAGACAACATGAAGAAAGAATGATTAAGAAAACTTGAAATTTAGAAACTAATAGTAAAAAGATAATTCTGATAATAATTTGTAATAATAGTAAAAATAATTTGTAATAGTGAAAATAATTTGTAAATCTAGAAAACAATAGTTTCGAAAGTAATAGTTCAGAACACAATATTTGATAAAATAATAATATTAACAAAACTTTTCTCTCAAAAAGATGAAGTACCGAAATATTTACAGAAGGTAAAGAAGAAAAGCTAATAACTCGTCGTAGAATTTCATAAATTAGGAATAGTTTACAAAAAATTCACCTACACCCCAAAATCAATAACACACCCCACGGTACATTAATTTTCCCTCCAAGAAACACCCATTTACATCAAGTCCCATTTTTCCATAACTTTATTATATCAGACAATTAAAATCAAAAAAAAAAGCTTGACCTCTTTTTTTTAAATTCTCACTTTTTATCGATTCTCTTATGGCACATAAGAAAAACCTTCTTTAATGACTTTTGATATTATCAAATTATTACAATATTAAAACTCTCTTTTTTTCCATTTCGATAAAGTAATGAGACATAATTACATCAACAGAGAGGGAAATTGAAAGTTTGCAAAAAATAAATAATATTGAACACATTTTGTGTGCAATTTCGTGGCATCGCATCGTCAGAGCGAATCGACCTACTGACCTATATTCCCTAGCTCTCTGTCTCCGCGTGTGCACCTGTAAGTCACCATTTAACATGATTTTACGAATCCACGTGAATGTTAAATTATCATTAATCATTTTTTTTTGTATTTTGTTGTTGACGTCTGTTTTTCTTTGTTTATTTTTCATATTATGTCAAAAACAAGAGATAAGGAAATATGTATTAAGGGAATTATTCTTAGATGTAAATTTTGCTTTTTTTGAGTTAAGAAAGAATAAAGTGGACTTGAGAATGTAGGTGTATCTTATCGGAGCATTATATATTTACAAACTTGGATCTGCATTACGATGAAAATCACTGATAAGGCACATGCGTGTATGACCTATCGCTATATGGAAGAAATTGGTCGATTATACGCATCCTTAGGGACGAAAAATCAATTTTATAATTATTTAGAATTGCTTCACCTGCTTCGCGATGTTAATTTTTTAGGTTAATTGTTTCTTAGGTTCGATTTTTGATTCTTTCTTTTTATTTCTTGCTCTTTATTTCTTTTTTTTCTCTCTCTCTTTTTTTCTTCTTTGATTTTTTATTTTTGTTCGTTCATTACAGGAAAAAAGTTCAGTTTAAATTTTTCTCCTGCTCATCGCTTTTTGCAGAAAGCAACTTTTTGAAAGAAATTTTTCATTTTTGGTTGAGAGTTCTCAAAAATGTATTTTTCCTTTAATCCGAAAAGTAGGTCAATTAAAAGTTCAAAAGGCTTGAGAGTTTTTTTACGCTTTTGCTAGCCTTCAAAAATTCTCAAGTCTTTCGGATGTGGAGAATTTTAGATTTTTAGGGAATTAGAATTATGCGATTTTGGGAGGAAAATGTTTCGTTTTTTTTTAATTTGTGAGAAATGTTAATAGTTGGTGATTAATATTGCATAAGAAATATTATTCCATTCAGCTTTATATTATGATGCTGAAGAACCCAGTTATTAGCACCCATTTCATTTTTAAAAATTTTATGTTGGTATTGAAACAAAAATGAAGCTGAAATTTGCCCACCCACTTAATTTTGGAAATTAAATTTTAAAGTTGAGTAATTTTTTATGAAGCTGAAACTTGCAGCCAGTTATCAGCACCTATTTTGGAAATTAAATTTTCAAGTTAAGTAATTTTTTATGAAGCTGAAACTTGCAGCCAGTTGTCAGCACCCACTTAATTTTTCAAAATTTGATGTTAATTTTAAAGAAAAAAAATATTTAACTTCAAAATTTAATTTGCAACAATTAACTGCTGACAATTTTAGCTTCATCAGCTTTATTATTATTAGGAGTTTTTTTTACCTCCGGAAGGCGGTTTTTTGGTTAAAGAAGAGGACTTCTTCCGCCTTCCGGAGGTAAAAAGCTAAAGACAACTTGTAGATGTTTCGTTAAAAACCACAGATTTCGGGGTATCCCTAAGGATCCTAGGAATCCTGTCAGAAATTACACCGAGAGGTTATTTAGCAATTTGGAGATTTTAGATTTAATTTAGATTCAAAATTTGATTTAGTGATATTTAGAAATGAGAGCATTAAGTTCAGTCTTCTTTTAGGTACAGATTTAATTCGGTCTTCAACTTTGCGTTAGGATTCCGTTAGGATTCTGTTTTGATTTCTTTTGGATTGGCTGGAATTCAGGAGAATTTACTACCTTCTCTTCTTTGGGGTTTGTCGCAGTTTATCATACAAAACACTCTGGCACAGCTGAAAGAAATCCTACAGATTTCGAATTGAAAAGCAAAAATCCGATACTGGACCGTCAGACTCCAAACTTCGTTGATGAAGTTCCTCTATTCGTCGTTGAGCAAATCTTCAGTGTCATTCGTCTTTTTCCATCAGTATTTCTTTCGGATTCTTGCGAAAATCCTCGTAGGCATCCTCTGGGTGTTTCTAAACGAAATAACAGGCAAAAGAACTTCTAAAGAGTTGTTCAAACTGAAAAACCCCTGAAGAATTCTTCAAACAGAAGAACTTTCATAGAGTTATTTAAAGTCAAAGAGAAAACCTTCTACAAAATTCTTCAAATAGACAGATTTCTTATAGAATATTATTTAGGATATTCGCAGATTGTTTGGCTTCTTCGTATCAGAAATGCAAAGCTGATGTGTCCTTTGAGTTAGAAACTTTGCTTATTATAGGTCGTCGATGGCATTTTCTTAGTGACACAACACACGAAAGTAGTTTTGTATGTCCTGGATCCTGCATTCTATTGACTTCTTCTTGGTAAAAATCCCAAATGCTGGGTTTTGGTCACGGAACTTCTTTTGATACGACTACTATAGGTTGACTAAATTTCTAACCGCTTTGGTGAACTCCATAGTAATTGCTCTAATTCTTATCTGAATGTGTTCTTTTCCATGGACCTGCACTCCTTAAACTTAAAGTGGTTGGCGTCTGGGTTTTTTACCTTCTTTACAATTTATCTTTGAACGTCTTCAAATATTTGATAATTATCGTTCAGACGTCGCAAGACTTTAGCATTTTGTGAAACTATTTTTGAACCTCTGTTAGCTAAAAGCAATGGCCAATGCTTTTGCCTTGGACAGCCTTCTTCATCTTCTTTCGTTTTCCCTTCAACTTCTTATTCTTTCGGTTTAGTTTTTCCTTCAGCTCTTGCTTTATATTTTGCTTCTGGTTTTGCTAAAACTTTTTAAAACAAAAGCTGTTGCAAAACTTGAAACAAGAGCATTAGATTTTGCTTATATGCTTTCGTTTCAGGTTTTGTTTCTAAGGTTTTACTTCAGCTCTTGTTTTAGCTTTTCCTTTAGCTTTTGCATCTGATTTTGCTTCAGCTTTTACTTTAGCCTTAGCTATAGTTTTTGTTTCAGCTCTTGTATGTTTTGCTCCAGGTATTGCTTCAGTCTTTGTTTTAAGCTTATGCTCTAGGTTTTTGCTTAGGGACCATTCAAGTATTACGTAAGCATTTTGCTTCTGGTTTTGCTAAGACTTCTAAAACAGAAACTGAATCAATAGTCGAAGCAAAACTTAAAACAGTAGCCTTAGATTTTACTTTAGTTGTTTTAGTTTTTTTTATTTTAGGTTTTAATTCAGCTTTTGCAGTAGCTTCTGTTTTAGGTTCTGCTTAATGCTTTGCTTCGAATTTTGCTTCAGCATTTGTTTTTGGTTCCACTCTTCAGCTCTTGTTTTAGTTTCTGTCTCAGGTTTTGCTTTAGGTTCTGCTTCAGCTTTTGGTTTAGCCTTAGCTTTTGTTTTAGGTTTTGCTTCAGCCTTTGCTGCCGAAATCAGAATAAAAATTCCGCTATTTCTCCTAACGTTCTTTGATAATATTCCAAGTACTTGTATGTAACACAAGAAGCAAGTTGTCGAGTATGCGAACTGTAAATATAAAGTGTTTATTTCCACACACACAAAGAACGGTAAATGTTAGATAAAAGAGTGCAAAAGAGGTAAACGAGATGTGAAAGAGAGAGTGAGTAAAGTAAACCAAAATGATTGAGAGAAGTAAAAGAGAATGAGTGAAAGAAGAAGAAAAGAAAAGAGTAAGGGTGAGAAAGGGTAAAAGAGTAAAGGAGTAAAGAAGAAGTAATAAAAAGATGGCAAGAGATGTAACGAATGATTTGTAATTGATTCAGGTTACGGGAAGACACACAAAGACGCTGCCAGTGTACGTACGACGCATCCAATACCAGCGGCATGTGGATTGTATTACTTCGAGGTGAAGATTGTGAGCAAAGGCCGTGACGGTTACATGGGAATTGGCCTCTCAGCACATGGTGTTAATGTGAATCGACTCCCGGGTTGGGACAAACACTCGTACGGCTATCATGGCGATGATGGGAACAGTTTCTGCGCCTCGGGCACAGGCCAACCATATGGGCCTACATTTACCACCGGTGACGTTATTGGATGTGGAGTTAATCTCGTCGACAACACCGCTTTTTACACAAAGAACGGACACCATCTCGGCATTGCATTCACAGATTTACCCGTAAGATGTTTATTATTATCACTAGCAATACTTTACTTATAAGATTATTATCACTATCGATATTATAGATCAATGATTAAATCTCTAACCGACCAATCGTGAGCAGTACTGGCTTTAATTAACTTTTAATCAGAGTTGGTGAAATTGGTTCTAATTGTAGTAATTGATAGTGATAATAATAATTACTACCAATTACTGCAATTATTACTACTACTAACTGTACAAAATTCTTCCTCTACTTTCAGGTTTCAGCAGACTTTTGACTAAAACCATTTACATTGGTACCATTTTTGACTGCGATTTTTAGTGTTGCCCTACGATTTTCGATCTGAAATTTTGAACAAAGTCAGGGTGGCCACATGTCAGTAAAGTCAGGGTAATGGCAGGAAAACAAAATTTTTGTCAGTAAAGTCAGAAATGACAGGAAAAGAAATTTTTTGCCAGAGAAATTATTTTTGAATTACTTTTTAAAGATATATGTATTTAAATTTTTCAAATATGTCTGTATAATAAATATATTTTTGAATAATTGAAATTTTCTAAAATTTAATTGAAAATAATTAATTTTTTTCATGTATTTTGTTACAATTTTGGAAAATCCACTTTTGAAGAATTTCTATTGCAAATTTTGAAAATAATTGAATTATCAAAAATTTTAATGAAAAATCTTTAAATGTAAAATTTAGAAATAAAAATTAATGAAAATTAGCTTCTAATTTTTTAAAATTCAATATTTTTAATTACATATTACCGAAAATTCAAATGCACACAAAAAATAATATTTTAGAAAGTATTTTTAACGTTTTGGAGAATAAAATCACGTTAAAAAGTTTTAATTAAAATGCATCGCAAAAAATAATTATTTAAATTATAGATACAAAAATTCTTTTAAGAAATTCAATTATTTTCAAAAAATTACATTAAAATATTTTTAAAAACTAATTCTTGAAATTGTTTTATCAAAATTTTTTGATTCAATTATCTTTCAACAAAGTTAATAAAAATTTATAAAAATTTAGTTTTTTAAACTTATTAAAAAATTATAAATATTTATAATTAAAATTCTTTAAAAATTTGATTATCTTTGTTTATATTTTTCAAAAATTCAATTATTTTTTAAAGATTTAACCAAATTTCAATTGTTTGAAAATTTTTCAATTGTACATATATAATTAAAAAACTATTAACTTTCAAAAATTATTGAAAAATATTTTTAAATGTAAGGATTTCTTTATTATAATTTTTTGAAATTATTCTACCTTAATAACTTAAGAAAAAACACGAACAGTTACAATTATTATAAAAAATTGAGTTTTTGTATTTAAGGAATTGAATTATAGAAGAACTTTCAAAAAATTATTTGAAATAATTAATTTAGAAATTAAGTTTAGTTGAAAATTGTAGAAAATAATTGAATTCACGTAGGTTATAATTATAATTTTTAGAAATTATTAAAATTCATAAATTTTACTCATTATACGAAAACTATCATATTTTCCTGTAAAAAGAATTTTGTCAGGGAAAATAATTTTAATGTCAGTAAATTGTCAGGGAAATTGATAAACTGAAAATTGTGACCACCCTGCTAAAGCATTTAATCAAAATAAGAATTGAATTTTATTTTTTTTCACTTCTTACCTGAAAGGAGAGGAAAAAACAAATGCTCAACGTGTATCATGATTAGAAGTCTTAAAATTAACGTCATTTAGTTTTGAACCTAAAAATAGGGTAGTTTTCAACAATTTTGGTTTTAAGATGTAAACGGTTTCAGACTTTGCATTTTTTGTCTATTTTTTTACTAATTTGTATGTTACTCTAGTTTTTTTCCTCTGATGATGATAAAAATAATCAGTTACATGATTAAAAATGGAGATTTTCATCATTAAACAGTATCATTATCATCATGAAACTAATAGATTACTATTAGTTTAATAATGATAATATTTCCGAATATCTATTGATGTTACTAAATTAATTTGTCAAGAACTACAGTTGTTTGTATTAATTGATCCTCTTTCTGCATTTTCGCTCCAAAAATTAGAAACAGTCAGAAAATTTTTGCTTCTCATGTCCTTTTTATCAGAGTGGGTCACAGTTAAAAGTTATCATTTTAAGAGTTATAATGATGATAATTATGGTAATATTTATTATCTTGATTTGGATAATATTTACGATTATCTTGATGATGATGAGGACAAAATTTACAATTTTCTTGATTATGATAACAATGTTTACGAATATCTTGAAGAGGATGATGACCACAGGTCAGGGAAGTCAGAGAATTCAGGGAAAAGTCAAGGAAAGTAAAATTGGTCAGGGAAATCAGGGAAAAATCAGGGATTTTTAGTAAAAGTACTGGAAAAAATTAAATTTTTTAAATTCATAAGAAAACTCTGAATATTGATGTTTTTTTTTCTCTCGTAAACTATGAAATTACAACGAATTTTAATACAAAACCTTCCATTTTTTTCTATAACTTACAATAATTTATTTTCAAATAACTTAATTTTTCAAGACCTATCATAAAATTATGACTTATAAATTATTTAATGAATAATTTTTACAATTTTCATAAATACTAGATTGATAGAAGAGTTTTAGTTAAAAGTACTAAAAAAATTGAATTTTAGAAAGGTTACAAATGATTCCAGAAATTCAATTATTTTCAAAAGTTATAAAAATTCTTCGCAGAATTTCAATTATGTTCAAAAATTTTTTAAAAATTCTTGTCAAAATTTCAATTATCTTTATAAATAATAGACTTCTTCTTCAAAATTCAATTATTTTTAAAAATTTTAATAAAATTCTTGGCAAAAGTTCACAGGAATTCAATTATTTACATACAAAATTTTTAATAAATCTCTTCGAAATAATTCAATTATTTTCATAAGTAATCAAATTTCCACAGGAATTCTATTATTTAAAATACAAAATTTCATAAAATTTTTTGAAAAATACTAATTATTTAAAAAGATTTTTATAAAATTCATCGCAAAAATTCAATTATTTAAAAAAAATTTAACAAAGTTCTTTTCAAGAATTAAATTATTAAAAAAAATTTAATAAAATTCGTTGCAAGAATTCAATTATTTACCTATATAAATAATAAAATTCTTCACAGAAATTCAGTTATTGTTATTAAGTTGAATAAAATACGTTGGAAGAATTAAATTATTTTCAAAAGTAATAAAATTCTTCGCAGAAATTCAATTCTGTTTAAAAATTTTTAAAAAATTCTTATCAAAATTTCATGTATCTTTATGAATAATAAAATTCTTCTTCGAAATTCAATTATTTTAGAAAAAATTTAATAAAATTCTTAGGAAAATTTGAATTATTTTCATAAATAATAAAACTCATCGCAGGATTTCAATTATTTTTGATACAATTTGAATCGAATTCCTCGAAAAATGTAATTATTCTTAAAAAATTTATTATTTTTAAGACAAATTTTATTAAATTTGTCAAAAGAATTCAATTATTTAAAAATTTGTTTATAAAATTCTTTATGAGAATTTAATTTTAACAAACATTGAATTATTCAATAAATTATTTATTTTTTAATTTAAATAATTGAATTCTTCTTAACTGAATTCTTGTAACGAATTTTATTACATTTTTTTAAATAATTGAATTTTTTGAGAAATTTTACTACTTGTAAAAATAATTGAATTCTGGCGAAGGATAAGGATTTTATTAGGATTTTTGTAAATAATTAACTTTTTTTTGAAAAAATTCTTTAGATTATTTAAATTATTACAAAACATGAAGAAGGCGATCGCCTTTTACATGTTTTGTAATAATATTTTTATAAGTTGTTGAATTTCAAAAAGGTTTAAATTTGAATATTTTGAAGAATTTTAATTCCTACGGAAAAATAATAATGATTAAATATTTATTTAAAAAATAAGTTATTGATGTTTTCAAATAATTTTACTTTTGTAGAAATTTGTAAATAAATGTAATAGAACATTTTTTTGAGCATCTACTAATTTTTAGAGTGAATCAGAATATTCTTTAGGATCAGGGAAAAAGAGAAAATTTTGTCTGGAAATCAGGGAAAAGTCAGGGAAAAATAAAATTAAATATTTGTGGCAACCCTGTATTTGGGATTATCTTGATGATTATCAGGAGGAAAACCGATAAAATTAGACATTTAAATAGAAATTCCCTTGAATAAGTTTATTTATTTTGCTTTCTTTTTTGCAGCCAAATCTTTATCCAACAGTTGGACTACAAACGCCAGGAGAAGTTGTTGATGCCAATTTTGGACAGCAACCATTTGTTTTTGATATTGGGGACATGATGAATGAACTCCGAGTTCGAACGAGATTACAGATTATTAATTATCCCACGCCAGATCATGGCCAGGGACACTGGCAAGCAGTTCTTCACAAGTATGATCTTCAATTTTTTTTAAATACTTTGTTCTTTCGATTTTAATTGAATTAAAATTCCGTTTATTCGAATTTTAAATCAACTTTATTAGTTTTTGACTAAAAATTTGATTTGCTTGAATTTCAAATTAATTTCTTTCAGAGAATAAAATTCAATTCAATTTTCAGAATGGTGTCTACGTACCTTGTCCATCATGGATATTGCGCAACCGCTGAAGCTTTTGCCAGCAGTACAGGACAAGTGTTCGAAGAGGATTTAAATTCAATAAAAAATAGACAAAGTGAGATTTTTTTCTAATTATTATTGTCACTCTGTAAATAATAATTATTTAGAGTTAGTAAAATAGTAAAATTTTTGTTATAGCTTTGTTAATAATTGTTCCGTTTGTTTGTTTTTGGTAGAAATATTAAAATTAGTCCTGGCAGGACGAATGGGTGAGGCGATAGAATTAACGAGTCGATTATATCCGGGCCTATTGGAACGGGACCCAAATCTTTTGTTTGCGCTCAAATGTCGTCAATTTGTTGAAATGGTTAATGGCAGTGATTCTGAAGTTTATTTGAGTAACAGCGAAAACCAAACGAGCGTCATACAATCCACCAAAGCCTATACAAAATCCTCGACGAACGGTAACGTTGAGGATATGAATCTTAATAATGCAATTAATGGTGCGTCCGAGCAACAACAATTTATTAATGGCCAAATTGAGGATGACGTTGAAATGGAGGAGAATACTGTTATTAATGGAGTGAAAAACACCAATGGCTATCAGAATGGGAACCAAAATACAAATGGCTATAAATGCCAAAATGGCGAGGACGTCGATATGGGTAAATTTCTCTCATTTTCATTTCTACATTTTATTTTTCATTAGTTCTTCTTGAATTTTTTTCTAATTAATTAATCAATTAATTTCTAATTCTAATTAAAAATTAAATTACATACTTTAGATTCAAAATTAGAAAAAGTTATACAAAAATTACAAAAAATGATATAAAATGTTATTAAAAATGTTATATTTTAAAGTAGAAAAAATTTTACATATAAAAACTATTTTCATATTCTAGAATATTAAATTGATATTATTAATATAGATTATATTTCAAAAAGTTTTAAACTAAAGTTTTAGGAAAGTTGAATTTTAAAAAGTTTTAATTTAAAATTCTGAATAAATTAGTTTTTTGAAACATTTTTATTCACATTTTTTTGAAATTATAGTTATATATAAGAATTTTAGAAATATTTTAGTTTTTGGGGGAACTTTTTTTAAATAATTGAATTTTTAGGGAACTTTCTCATAAAATATTGAAAATTTTGGAAATAATTTTTGACAGTTTTTCTTTATGACCGGGAATTTCTTTTTATGAAAAAGGCGGTCACCTTTAGTAAAAATTAAATACAGTGTAAATAAAAATATAGTAAAAATTAAACACAATATGAATTAAAATATAATAAAAATTAAATACAATGTTAAATTAAAATATAGTAAAAATTAAATCCAGCATAATTTAAAAAATAGTATAAATTAAAATAAAAAATTGTTTAAAAATAATAAAAATGTAATAAAAAAATCATAATTTTTTTGTGTATTCTCGTAGAAATCGACACTACAAATCACAATCAACATCAAAATGGAAATTGCGGAATGAATGTTGATTGTTCGATGACTAAGAGCTCAAAGAAACAATTGTGCGGTGGCAATAAACAGGCCATCGAGAAAATGTTGGAATTCGGTAGACAATTGTACGCACAGTCGTTATTATTGAGGCAGCAGCATGGCAAAAATGAGGCGAATAAAAAAATGATTCAGGACGCCTTCAGTCTTCTTGCTTATTCAAATCCTTGGAATTCACCAGTTGGCTGGCAACTTGATCCACAACAGAGGGAAACAGTTTGTGCAAGGCTCAATTCTGCCATATTAGGTATTTTTTTTTTTTGTTAATTATTATAATTTAAATATTTTTTTTACAAAAATTCGTCGAAAGAATTCAGTTATTATCTTCGTAAATAATAAAATTAATATCTATTCGAAAAATGTTAATTAAATTCTTTGAAGTAATTGAATTCTTTTTAAGAATTTAAAAATTCTATGCAAGAAGTAAATTATTTCATATTCGAAATTAAAAAAGTTGAAAGAAAATTAAAATATAATTGTTTTTAAGAAAATGAAGTGTAAAAATTGATTTGAAAGAAAAATGTGATTAAAATTTGGAAAAATTGTAAAATGAATGTTTTCTTCGTAGAATCGAGTAATTTGCCACGACGACCGCCATTAGAAGTCGCAGTATCACACGCAAGGGAGTTGGTGCGTTTAATGTCGAACGCAGGTCTCGGAGCATGCAGCTTCGCAGTTGTAGACAATATTATTCAATATTGACGGTGCCTCCCCCTGCTGCCACGAGCGCCCCTTCAACCTGCCCGAGTGTGGTGAGTGCCCTCGTATTTAACTGATGGAAAAAAGTGCCTCACGATCGGTGGACCCGGCCAACAACGAACGATTTTTCATGCCGTCGGAGCGCTGTGATTCCTATTTAAAAAAATAATACAAACAAAAACTACAAAACATACAACAACAACAACAACAACAACAAAATAACAACAATATCGTGACCCGTTCGGCTCTTGATCGTGCACAATGTCCTCGTTAATCACTTTGACGTTTTTAGACAAAACAAAAAATAATAATTATAAATAATAATAATAATTCGTGTACGATTTCGGGAACACCGAACTGCAAAATATCACAAAATTTCCGTTTTGAATTCTCACTCTTAGATAATGAAAAATAATATTCAAAAAAATGGAACACACCGAAGGGAAAGAAGAAAAGAAAGAAAGGAATGAATTAAAGGAAAATAGTTGTTGAAATTAAAGAATAATGAAGATTTGGGAAAAATGGATAGGAAAAATAAAATTATGAAGAGATAATAATAGAATTAAAAGAGAAAAAAATGAATGAGAAATGATATGAATTTAGTATTTCAAATCACGTTAATGTACGTAAAAAAAAATTTGGAGTTTTTTTCGTTTTGTTCCCAATTTAGATGAAGAAATTTTTCAAAAAGGATTTTTTTGATTAATTTCAAAGATTTTATTTCATTGATTCTCATTTCTTTTTTCACTGGGCGATGTTGTCGCGTTTTTTTTCTACTCTACTGGATTTTGTTTGATAGAAAAATCGATAAACAACAAACTCGATCTCAACAAACACGCTCTTGACCTGCCAATTGTTAAAGAGGAAAAATAATAATTTATCAATTCTTTTTCTTTGATTTTTTGTTTAAAGTGTTTATTTCCAAGAAATAAAAAAGAAAGAAGAAGTTCGAAAGTGAAGTGGAAGAGAAAAATTCAAGATATTTTTGTTTTAAACAAAAAAAATAATAATTGAAGCTGCCCTTTATAAACAACGAGCCGTGTTCAAATTTGGACGTTACGTCAAATTCTCTCATTCCCAAATTCGCGTAAGTTTTTCCACTTTTTTTCTCCTTTTCTTTGATTTAAGAAAAAATACAAAAATTATGAAAATTTGTAAAATTTTGTTACATAAGTTAAGTTTAGTAATACAAAATCAATCGTTTTTTAAGGTAATGGAAAAATTGTTTCTTTTTATAAAACGAAATTTTTTTGAATTCTTAAGAAATTTTATTTAAAAGGAAATTTTTTTTTAAAACGAAAATTTCTTTAAGGCACAAAAAAAATTTGCAGAGCAAAGAATTTAATTTTGTAGACCACAATTTAATTTCAATGATTTTAATTTAAGTAGAAAGGATTTTTTTGTAAAACTACTAAAAGCATTTTTCACAGTATTTTATTTTTGCTTTAAAGTAAAATAAATTCATAAGAATTTTAATTTAAATTAAATTTTTTTACTCTATATAATATTTCGATTAAAATTATAAATAAATTAAATGGAAAGAAATCCTTTAAATGAAACTGATTTGTTTTAAAGTAAAAATAGTTTTTGTTTACAATCAAAAGAAAAATTTTCTTTTAGAAAATAAAAATTAATTAAGGCAAAAAAAACTGAAAAGCAAGTGTTCTTTTTTGTTTTAACATTTTTCAATCTAAATTTAAGTGTTTTATGAATAAATTGAAAATTTCCTTAATGAAAAAATTTCGTTTTAAATGAAAAAAGTAAAATGAAAATTCTATTTTCAAACTTCATTTAAAATTTCAAGATTTATTTTTTAGAAAATTAAAATTTTTTATCGCTTTTGCAATGTTGATCTTGTGGCGTTTATAAAATTTTCATTTATTTTCTATTCTCTACAATTAAGATTTTTTTCAAAAATTTTATAGATTTTTAATCCAATATTGTTTTTAGACTAAAAAAAATTTTTTGTGTGATATGTGTACTTTGAAATATTAATAATTAGACAAAATTTTCTCTTCAATATTTTAATTCGCATTTTAAATGAAAAAAAATTAATTAGTAAATATTTATTGTTGATTTTGTTATTGACTAATTAACAATTATTAATGATTAATTACTAATTAATAATGAACGAATAATTGTTAATTAATTAATAACGAAAACTATTGTAAGTTGATTAATAGTCAAAACTACTGTTAATTAATTAACAACGAAAAGTATTGTTAATTAATTAACAATGAAAAATATTAATTAATTAATAATAAAAAAAATTGTTAATTGATCAATAACGAAAAAACTTTTTAATTGATTAGTAATGAATAATGTTGTTAATTAATTAATAAAGAAGAATTTTGTTAATTAATTCATAATGAAAATCATTGATAATTATTTAATAGTAAAAAATTTGTCAATTAATTAACAAAAAATGGTTATTAATAATAAAAATTTGTTAATTAATCGATAATGAAAATCATTTTTAATTATTTGATAGTAAGAATTTTGTCAATTAATTAATAAAAAATCGTTAATTAATAATAATAATTTTTGTTAATTAACTGAATAATTGTTAATTTAAAATTGATTTTTTACGATTACTTTGTCAATAATTAATTAGTCATTAATTAATTTATCGTTAATTAATTAGCCAGTAATTAATTGACCATTTTAATTATTATTAATTATGAAGTTAACTAAGAATTAATTAGGTGAATAAAATGTAATAAAATTGGATTAAAAATTTTTATAAAAATAAATTGATTTAGTAAGTAACGCAAAAATTGGATTTAATCGGTTTTATATTAGAAAAATAGTTTAAGTTTAACAAAAATGAATTAATATTATTAAACGAAATTAATTTGTTAAAATTGATTTGAGATTTGGATCGAAATGAGAAAAAATTTTTATATGCTTATTTTGATTGTTAAGCTTTTTTAAAATTCTTAATAATTTTTATCTTTGATTAGTATTCTCGGCTCAATTTTATCCTCTTTTTTTTCTTTTTTTTTGCTATTTCGCAATGAAAAAGAAAAAAACGATAATTTCTTTCTTTTGGGATTAAGAGAACGCCATGCTCGTTTTTAGAGACGGATGAGGTCTTTACGTTATTAAAATATTATATCGAAATAATTACAGAGAATGAGAAATTATGAAAACTTAACTAAAGAACGATCTTGTACCCTACATTAAGTAATTGTTTTTTATATGCGACATAGTATATTATATTATATATTATTAAAAAGAAAAACAATAAAAAAAGAATGGAAATCGTATGCAGCTAGAAGTAAGCGTGCGTTTAAAAAATACAATAATTTTTAGTATTAAAAAAAGAGGAAAAAAAATATTGAAAAAAGAAAATACAAATTAAATGTAGGTTTTTGTTCAGAATTGGAAGAAAGAAATTTTTTTTTGATTTTAGCGTTACAAGGGGTTTTTTTTCTGAAAAATTTTTTTTCATTCAAAATTAAAAAAATTATTTGTGGAAAATGAATTTTTTTGAAATTTGTGTCTTTATTATAAAATACTGGCAAATTTGAATTTTTTTTGTTATTGATTTTGTTATTATTCATCATTTTTTTTGTCATTATTGTCATCATCGTGTTTTCTTGTCACGAAACAAACAAAAAAAAAACAAAAAACACACACGTAGACACATCTTTTTCCAATATCAGTGATTCTAGAATTTTTCCTTCCTTCTCCTCCTACTACTACTACTATTCCTACTCCTACTCCTACTCCTTGACTCAACATTTCTGATGAGATATTTCTCGTAACGCATATCTATGTAATAAATTATTATAATATATTGTAACGCGCCAATCTAACATAATTTTAATTTTTTTTTCGTTTTTATTATCGCTGCTTACAGAAAAATATATACAAACATTTATAATATTTGTTTAATATATGTTGTTCGCATTTAGTTTTTCATTGTTCCTGGCCAAAAATAAGCACTTTTTCCTGCTTCCTATTATTATATAGATGCGTATTTATAATATATACAAATTAGTCTCGAATCTTTTTTTTTAATATTTTTTTCTACTGTGAGACTTTTTTTTTATTGATTGACAATTATAGTTTGGCCTCATTATTTTTGAAAAAAGTTTCATGATTGAAATTAAATAAAAATAGAATTTTTTTTTTTAATTAGATAAACTGTTTCTTAATTTGTTAATTAACATTTGTTTTTTAATTTTTTATTGCATACAAAATTTTTCTACTTTTTTTAAATTAGATGCTTTTACTTGCCATTTTTTAAATTTTGTCATATATGGAATGTTTTTTGCTTTTTTATTTTATTTTTTATTTATTTCTATTTATTTCTTTTATTTTTTATTATTTTATTTTTTTTAATTTTTATGTTTCATTTTTAATTGTTATTATTATTACTATTTTACTATTTTTTATTATTGTTTTATTTTTATTTGATTATTCACTCTTTATTTTAATTTTTTTCGCATTTAATTTTTTTAATTCTAATTTTTATTTATTTATATTATATTTCATTTATTATTATAATTTATTATTTTTTGTATTAAGGGGTCTGCCCGTATAAGAATCTTAAATAAAATAAAATAAAATTTATTTATATTGTTTATTTCTTTTCCCTGTTATTTATTTAAATAATTTTCTTTCTTTATTTTTTTTTATTTTATAACATTGACGAGACAATTTTTATTTAAATCTTTTTTTTTAATTTCACTTTCATTTAGTTTCGTAATTCTTATTGTTAATTAATTTCCAATTCATTTTTGTTTATTTTTATTTACTTATTACTTCTTTAAAAACTAAATTTCTTTTATTTTTTGTAATTTTATTTTCGTTTTTTACTCTATTTTCTACTTGTCTTGTCTTGTCGCATTTTTTTTGTTAATAAATAAATAAATAAATAAATAAATAGATAGATTTTTATTTCATATTATTTTCACTTTATTATAAGAAAGAATGAAACTAAATTATTTCATTCTTTTTTACAAAAAGTAAAAAATATTTTCTTTATTTTTCATGATATAATTAAATTATTTATTTATTTAGAGATGGGACAAACTCTTTAATCTATTAATTAAAACAAAAAAAAAACTTCACTCATGAATCGTCCTGATGAGGGGAATCATACATACATTTTTTTCATTATTTTTTGATAAATAAAAAAATAGTAAATAAATTTAAAAACAAAAATAAGATGATAAAAAATAATAATGCTCTCTCTCTCTCTCTCTCTCTCTCTCTCTCTATCGCTCTTTGAAAAAAATTTCGTATATATAGTGGGCTGCAAATTCTAATAAATAAAAGTACGTCTTTTATAATCTCGCAAAAAAATGGCTTGCAATTCCATCGAGCGGGTTTTTTTTCGAATTACATAAATGTTACGTAGTTCGTTAATTATTCGTGACAATGAATTCGTATTGCCTCGTCTCTTCCCGTTTTACGTATTTATATATATATAAATTTTTTAAACATCACACAATAATTATTTATGTACAAAAATATATATAGTCAATTATTATTCTCAGTTACGAGAAATAAACAATTGTAGAAAGTACATAATTATGTAGTTTCTGAAAAAACTATTTTTTTCTCTAAATAGTAGTTAAAAAAATAGTTTTCAATGCATTTTTACACTTCTTCAAATTTTTAATTGTTTTTTTAAATTAATTTTCATTTTTTTATAAATAGTAAATTTAAATATATATTTTATTAATATTAATGTACAGTTTTTAATAATTCTACATCAATTTTTAATTAACTTAAAGTAATTTTCAACTATTTTGAAATAGTTTTCAATTATTATTACATAATTTTCAATTATTTTATTTACAATAATTAGCAAAAAATTTTACATTATTTTTAAATAGTTTTACATAATTTTAAATTACTGTGAAAGTTTTCAATTATTTTTACATTATTTTCAAATAATTTGCAATTAACAATACATAATTTAATTTTTTTACTTAAATTTTAAATTATTTTACATAAATTTTTAAATCTTTAAAATGTAATCTTTTTACATAATTGACATTTATTTATAATATTTTTGTTTATTTGTGGAAATTTTGTACAATTTTGTAACTAATTTTTTTCGAGATCTTTTTCTCTAAAAACAGTTGCACAAAAAA